TCCCCTTCTTAGTTTATTTTATCATTTCACAGGCTGAGAAAACCACCTGTTCATCAAACACTCAACTCATTGCCATTGAGTCAGATCCCACTCAAAAACCCCCTCTTGGGTTTCCAGAGCAGTATCACTAGAGAAGTAGATTACCCAATCTTCTAGCTATACCCAATTATCTAGCTATAATCTGGGTTTGCCCACTTTACTTCATTGGGTCTCAGTTTCTTCATCTGAAAGAACTTTGAAATGGCCTAACATCTATGGATTTCTGTGAATTATTATTTTTTCTTCTAGAGAATGATAAATTGCTTAGGATATGGTCTAAAAATAAGGGCAGTTGAGCAAAACTAGGGGCTCAGGAGATGGCCTTTCAGATACTTGTGCCACTGTCAGAGACTTTTGCACTGTCTTGAATGACAGAAGGAGTGGTCAGTTTATATCTGACCTTCACTCTTGGTCTCACAATTTTGGAAGATTACATTCCCCCCCTCACCCCCCACTTAGAGGAACACTTCATGCCATTGAATGAGTTAGGAAAGTTCATGACTTTTCTTTATAAAAACCCTAGATTAGTGGCTCCTTACCTTGGCTGCATATTAGAATTACCTGGGGAATTTAGGAAATCCCCATGCCTAGACATCACTAGATCCCAGGCATCCCTGTCTCCCCCACCCCAGGCTCCAGGTATGAACTAGTACCTTTGACTTTGCTGCATTAGTTGTTAAAGCATACTTTTCAAGAAGCCATGATTCAAAAGCAGTGTGCAGGTGGAGGATTATAAGACATGACAATGGATCCAATCACTTAGATGAAAAACTGTCTATATTTTATGCGTTTAATACATTCCTTGTGGTAGTTGAAGTTGTATGTCAACTTGGCCTGGCCTGGATGAGTGGCTGGGCAACTGGTTGTAGTATTCCCCATGATGAGACTGGTAATCAACTCCATGATGGAATCTACTGTGAGCAGCTGAGTAGCTGCCTTAGGGAATGTGGTCTGCTTTCCGTATATAAGGAGAACCCTTGGGGAATGGTCTGTAGCCTATGGCATGCTTGAACCCCACATGTAGCCATGTCGTTGTTCAGCAGCTGGCCAGGCTCTACCGACCTTGGACTTTCAATGGACTTGAGTTAATGGCCTGCCAAGTGGTTTGGTAACATTAGGACTGTGCCATTTTATTTGTCGACTTTGGGCTTGTTAGCCTCAGCTGCCAGTAGCTACTTAGTGAAGAGATGCCTAGCTTCAGTGGTCCGGGAGCAAGAGGCAGAGCTAAAACCCAAGGTCAAGGGGCTTTCACACAGCCCCTAGAGCCTGGCACTTTGAACTCAGACTTCTAGCCTCCCAAACTGTAAGAGAATAAACTCTTGTTTGTTCAAGCCATCCCATTTGTGGTATATTCCTGTCAAAGCTGCACTAGGTAACCAGAACATTCCTTAACTCAGCAAATACGTTTTTTTTAAGAAAACTAAGCAGATGTGAAATAATATTATGCCAATTAGTGAGAAGTGCTATGAAGAGGAAAACAAAGCAAGGTGAGGGAATGGAGAGAGAGTGGTGTGGGTGGTTGTGTTTGCATGCAGGCATGTATGTTTGCCCTGAGGCAAGCCTGATGTGTTAGAGTTTTGATAGAGTGCTTCTGGGAAGATGTGTATTATAGCTATGCATGTCATCAAAGAACTGCAAAGGAAAGAAAGGACTATTTTAATAAATGATATAGGTACAATCTGCAGCTATTCGGGAAAAGTAAGTTAGACCTTGTTTTTAATGAAGAAACAAAAGAATTAATTGTTGATTGATGAAAAAGTTAAAAGTGAAGAAAACGAAAATAACCATCTATCTGAACACTGAAAGGAACGGAATATTCTATACATAAAAATAATGGGAAAAAAACAAACCAAAAGTATAATAGGTTTGACAACATAAATATAAAATCTGCCACATGACAAAACATCAAAAGAGGAATTAAAAGGTAAACAATAAGTTGGGAAAAATACTAAACATCTGAGAAGTAACTGGACAAAGGACATAAAGGCATAGCTTATAAACATACAAATAAAATGGCTAAAAAAACATGATTAATTTAATTTTGTCTCATTCATACTTAAAGACATGAAAGATTAAAAAACAGTGAGATTCCATTTTACCATTCTGACTACCTTAAAAAAAAAAAGAAAAAAAACAAGAATGCCTATTTCATGCCAGGAAGTGGTAGATGGATATAGCAATGCAAACAACTCAAAATAGTTTATATGTAAGTGGTATTTATTATTCACCAGATACTCTGTAACATCAATTCATGGAACATTCATATCACTCTGGGAGGTACGATTGCTATTCCCATTCTACCGATCAAGAAATTGCAGCACATAGTGCGTAAGTTACTTGCCCAACTTAGTTAGCTGGTAAGGAGATTCAAATCTAGCCAGCCGGCACCAGAGACTATGTTCCCAAACACTGAGGCATGGGTGCCTTATATGTGAAGATAGTCATCATGTTATTTTGTAATGACATACATCTTGTAAATTATAATATATCCATGAAGGAATATTATGTGGCAATTAAAATGATGTTAACATACCTCTGTGACACAGGAAAATATTCATTATATAATATTAAGTGGAAAATTGAAGGATATGAAATACTTTAGAAGTCATTATCATATTTGAAAATATATAGGAAAAAGTATGGGAGAACGTGCTAAAATGTTATGAGTGTTGAAATTATTTTCCTTTTTTTTCAGTTTTCATTTTTATAAATGTCCTACAATGAGAAAATATTGTTTTAGAACAACTAAAAAAAAAGAGAGAAAGAAACAAAAGTTATGGAAAAGCAAAAAGTAGTATCAACATGAAGTATAACTGCAAAAAATTACACCCTAATCTTTCCTACATGTAAAATATTTAATATGCATATTCTCCTACAAATAATTTACTATACTTGATAGCGTATCTATGACATTTCCCAGTTTAACTTTTTTTCCCCCATATAATAAATTCATGTATACACACATACATATAGGCTGTGTGAATAGCAGCTAATTTGTATGTTGTTGTTATGTGCTGAGATCTTAACACGGTTCATATTTAAACTCAGAGTTAACTTATCAGAATGGTGAATAATCTCATAATGACCTTATCTTTTAGTAGATCTTTTTTTAAAAAAAAAAAAAAAGAAGAAAAGCTTTGTCCTTTAAAAGCTGTGTCAACCTTAACCAGATGAGTGACATAAAGGAAACAACACTTTTCTCTCTACCCAAGATGAAAGAATAGAGAGAGTTAATAATACAGTGTGGGTGGGTGGGGATGGGGGTAGGTAGGTTTCAAATTACAGAACTTTTCTAATTTGATTATGAACTGTTTGTACTTTCCTTACATATTTATCCCTTTTGTCTGCATATTACTGATTTTTATCTCTTGGAAATTCCACTAAATTCTTCATGTTAGTCATAAGAATTGATGTAACTGGTTTGGTAGTTTAGTCATTAAACTTTATCCAGGGTTTGAGCATGATAGTTCTTTCTTTCTTGGAAGGATAGGAAATGAAGGGCAGTTGGTGAGAAGATGACAGTTACTGGGGTATGAGAGGGTACCTTGTGGCCTATAAATCTTCAGAAACATTAGCTCATTTAATCACTGAATGATTTTGGAGATAAAGCTTCTTATCACCTTCATTTAATAATGAGCAAACAGGCACTGAGACTTTCAAGTAACTTGCCCAAGCGTGCATAATTCCTTCAGGCTGAAGCTGGAATGCCAGCACAGAATTTTGTGCCCCCAAAACCAAGCTCTTTTCATTATATTGTAGTCTGTGCACCCAGGAAGGATTGCAGCGAGAGGCAAGAGTTAGCTGTGTGGGGGAAAAAAAAGGAACACAAAATTGTTTATGAAGTATGCAGACTCTGTGGGTGATTCCCATTGGATCCCTCTGGCTAGTCTGCTCCCTAAAGTTGTGCTTAGTAACATCAAATTGAGGTTGGAGCAGGATAGAAATTCAAAGCAAATCTCAATTCTGCTGCATTGCAAGTAAAGTAGGGGTCACAAACGTGGTAAACTCTCACTTTGACTCTCCATTTCCATAAAATAGATACATATGAGCAGGTGAGTTCAGACACATATACACATGCACACATATATTCTTCGTTAAGTATCGAGTACTTACTTTGTGTTAGGCATTGTGATACATTAATGAGAAAAATAGACTTAGTGTGTAAACTTATTAAACATATCTTGGAGGAAGAAGATGATCACTTAAAAATTCAGCCCACAAATCAATACCTAATTCAAAATTGTAATAAACATTAAAAAGGAAAGCATAGGGTGTGGTGAGTAAGAAAGCTGTTGGATCTCTGTCTGTCTGTCTGTCTTTCTCTCTCTCACACACACGCACACAAGCATACATACCTACAAGGACACACCTGCCATACATATCTCTGTATGTCATGAACTATTTGTTCATAGAATAACATATTTCCTACAAATACCATTGTAGCCAGGATTTAGTAGACCAGGCCTAAAGTAAATTGGACTTTTTCTATTAGGCAGTTGAATTATTAGCTGTTTCTTCAGGATGTTGGCATTCATTGCTTTGAAATTGTATTAAATATGTGTGGCTGAAAGTTTTGAGAATTAGTGCCTATATAAAGGGATATAAAATCTTCTGGTCCACTTTTTCAGTAGTCTGTATGCAGCAAGATTTTTTAAAACCTCCTTCACAGGACAGACCTGGGAGCTCTGGTAGCATAGTGCCTAAGGCACCTGACTGCTTACCAGAAGGCTGGCGGTTCAAACCCACCAACCACTCCCCGGGAGGAAGGTTGGGCAATCTACTTCTGTAGTGATACTGCCTCGGAAACCCAAGGAGGGGTCCCTATGAATTGGATCCGACTCCACGGCAATGGTTGCATTGCGTTGGTTGTTTGACAGGACAGATAGCTTTTGTGTGAAAGCCTTGGCTGAACTTGTCTTACTCTATTTTTCAGAAAAATCATTCGCAGTAGAATCCAAAACATGCATTCTAAAGCACTGTCCTTGGCACTTTTGATACATCTCTTATTCCACACGTCAGGTAAGTGTTTCTAATTATTCGCAAACATACTTCTCTGGTAGTCTAGAGAGAATATCAAGGCCTTTTTTTTTTTTTTCCAAACATGAATATAGCTATTAAATGTTGGATAGAAGATGCTACATTTATTAAAACTAATGATTATAAATTTTACTTCAGAGATTTGCCAAGCATTTTGTGTTCCAGGCTAGAGAATGGAAGAAAATTTTGAGTATGGTTAATTAAAGACGACTCATCTAGCCTTATTGAAAAAGAAAAAAAATAAAATCAGCACTCTGAATTTATGCAGAGAATAGGATGTGAAAACCTGTCTCCTGAAATAAATTACATTGGTCTGATGAAAATGTACTTTATGCTATTTGAGAGTTAGGAGATATAAGCCATCTTTCTTACTGGTTTTTAGGAAGTTTTACTCACACCCTTTGCTTCCAGAAATATAGGCAAAGATTCATCTCATTTTTTAGGTAATGAAGGAGTGAATGGAAAGTATCTTTCCAGATCTTAAAGAAAATATTAAAGTTAGAAGCAATACCTAAGAAAGAGACAATTTAGACTAGAGAGCACAGCCACTAGGCTTCACATCAGGTGTCAAATGTGAATTTTAATTTACTAGCATTGAGTGCTTGGATTTTTGTTACTGAGAAAGGTTTTGAGGACCTATCAAGATTCTTTGGAGAAGAGTCCATAATTGATTAACATGGTTTACCAGTTGTTTAGGCTTTGGAAGAGAAGGTGAAACATAAATATTAATTTTCTTTGATTTATTACCTAGAATGTCTCTAGGTGGCACAAATGGTTAAGTACTTGAGTACTAGCTGAAAAGTTGGTGACTTGAACCCACCCAGGGGCACCTCAAAAGATGGGCCTGGTGATCTGCTTCCTACAGGTCATGGTCTTGAAATTCCTACGAAACAGTTTTACTCTGTACACATTGGGTTGCCATAAGTTGGAATTAACTTAATGACAACTAAAAACAATAATAACAACACATGAGTCTGTATCCTTTACTTTGAGAATTATTGCTGGAGAGATGGCAGAGATATGCTATTGGTATTTTCAGATAATGCAAGTCCAACCTTGGGGAATATTGAGTTAAGTGGATCCATATATTGTTGAGATCCAGATGATGCCACGCTACCCTGATGTTAAGGGAATGAGGCAGATCTGTTCTTCATGATATTGTATGATCTGTCAGAAATGGCTGAGTAAAAAATCAAGGTGCAGCAAGGTGTGTGATGGGGTCTATGCTTTAAAGACATATCCTAAAAACCTTGCTCCCATCTCACTAAGAAAACATGTTTCAGGTACAAAAACAGTAACACAGCCAGTTGCTAAGGTTGTTAAAGTCCCAGTTCCCGGTCCTTTTAGTTACTTGGGAACCGCCTTTTTTGAAAAGCTCACTCTAGGCAGATGGGACATTATTCTAAGTGTAGGATTCATTTAACCTAATTGGAGTTGGATATAAACATTCTATAATTGTCCAAACTCAGAACATTTGAAAACATAGACCTCATTCCAAAGGGTATAGGTTCTTGGCCTTGTTGGGTTCTTACACCCCGTTTATGCAAGAATAGAAATTCCTATTCTGGGCTATCCCTACATCTTGAGCCCCATCCGTGTCTCTAATAGAAAACTATTTCTAACAAGCTTTCTATTAATAAATAAATAAATAAATAAAGTATCTGGTGTTAAACAGAAATCTGAAGCCATTAGTACCTAAGACATTCGACTGCTAACTAGAAGGTTGGCAGTTCAAACCCACCAGCAGTTTCATGGAAGGAAGATGGGGCATACTACTTTGGTAAAGATTTACTGACTTGGGCACCGAATAGGGGTTGCTATGAGTTGGAGTCAAGTCAATGGCAGTGTTTTTTTTTTTTTTTTTTTAAACTTTTTAGTTGCCTGGGGTTTCAATTACTAACCATCAACTCCTGGAAAGTGTGTATTCTAGATTAGATTCCTTCAAGTGGTAATACTCCCAAAGAGCAGTGAATGCATGTGTCCACCCAAACACAGGTACCTGTGTTCATAGCATCTTTTTTTTTTATTGGCCAAAACCTGGAAATAACCCAACTATCAATCACATTTATAATTATAAATTATCATTTATAACAATAATAATAAAAATAATAATTTCTACATTTATAGTAATAAAAAATCATTTCTATATTATAATAATAAATAAATCGTCAAATATCAGCACAGTTGGGTAATATATTATATACCAATGACAGAGAATAAATTATTGCTATCTGTAGCCACATGGATGACTCTCACAGACATAATGATGTATGAAAGATTCTGGACAAAAAGAGCACCATGTATGATTACTGCACTGTATGATAGGTATATTATATTTCTAAGAAAGAAAAATAAACTTTCAATGACCTGTCACTGCTTTGTATGTCAATTAAAACTAACACATAAATACATGTATCACACCTTCTATGTTGAAGAGATTCTGTAACAAACACTATACATAAGGTTGGTGTTCATTTACCCCTGTGCTTTGAGGAGATTTGACATTCATGTTTTCAAAGAATGTTTGTGCCATTTCAGCCACTTCCTTTTTACTTTGTGGTTAACAAAATTAAGTTACAACAAGACTATTGCTTTGAGAAATAAACCCTAACTAGAGAGAAGCCATTTTTTTTTTCTATCACCTCAGTGAAGTGCTCTGCTCAATTTAAGGGTTCACATTCTCAAAATGTGGAGCCACAAGAGGACAAGATATGCTGACATCAAAGCACTAAAAGCACAAAAGGAGGGACAGAAAGGATCAGATAAATTTTCAAGCCTGGAATGTATCTGGGTTACAGAGAAGGAGAGAGACAGAGATTGAAAGAGAGAGGGAGAGTGGGAGGAGAGAGGGAGGGAGAGAGAGAGAGACACCTGGATTTGGGGTGATATTAATCAATTCTTTATTATTCACATGGTAACCTACAACAGTAACTAATTTATATGCCCGAAATCACATAGGGGCATACTTACAACCCCTCCGCCCCCACCCGCCCAGGATATGAGTTAGGTGGGCAGGTTCAGAGCAGGATTCAGATGAAGAACTCTGAGGATGTGTTCAGGTTTCTTTTTTCTTCTCCATAAGATTCTCCTCAGCTGAGGGTGTTCTGGGGCAGGTGTGGCAACACTGTGACTTCCCGTATGAAGAAGGTGTAATGTCTACTGTAGTACTTTCTTTTTTTGAAGGAACACCTCACACTTTTCTGTGCTGTAGTGTTTGCAGATTAAGTCCTGGCACCTTTCTTTTGGGAGGTGCTATGGAAGTTTTTTCTTCATCTGTGTTCTGAAAGTGCTTTACCCTCGTGTCTCCTCACATTAGAAAGTTGACCATAAAATAAGAAAACCCACAAGAATGTGACATTGAGATTTCTCAGGGCTTTGTTTCTAACCCTACTTTTCCCCCTAATGCACTAGAAGAAAAGAGGGAGGGGACAACAAAAACCACCTCTGTCAATCTGTTTTTATTTTTTCTTTTACTTTTTCTAAGCTTTTGAAGCAACCTGTCGGTCGTATCCCCAAGTTACCGCGGTTGCAGGTGAGCCTTTCTATTTGAAATATTGCGTGTCTTCATCTGAGCATCATCATGAAAACGCCACCACAAGATGGTACAAAAGCAATGGGGCGCTTGAAAAGATTGAACTAAACCCAAACAATTCACCGAGAACTGCTTTTCATGATTATGCTTTGGAATTTTGGCCAGTTGAATTGGATGACAGTGGATCTTACTTTTTGGAAATGCAGTGAGTATTTCTTTGTTTTAGTATGTATTACCTCATGATATTCTTAGCCCTTGTTCAGCAAATCAAATATATAATAATCTGAAAAGTCAGATAATCCATGTTTTTTGTTTACCCTCTGCTCTTCCTATAATATAAAATATTTTATTATTAAAAATTAAATTAAATAACCCTCTGTGTTTATTTTGTTAGTGATCTTAATGAAAAGAGATTATTGCAATAAGTTTTCTCTTTCATAACCAAAAAAACAAGCACACTGTCGTCGAGTCGGATCCGACTCATAGCAACCTCTCCTTGGGTTTCCAAGGCAGCTGTTTTTGTTATGTGCCATCGAGTCAGACCTGACTCATAGCAACCCCTCCTTGGGTTTCTGAGGCGGTATCACTACAGAAGTAGATTGCCCAATCTTCCTTTTGAGGAGTTGGCTGGTGGATTTGAACTGCCAGCCTTCTGGTTAGCAGTCAAATGCCTTAGGCACTACACCACCAGAGCTTGTAAAAACATAACTGAAGATTGGATAAAATTTATTTTAAATTTAAATGCTCCTATTTTCTAAATCTACTTGTCCTATGAAATGAATGGCTAGGGCTTCATAATGTTATTAACATGTAGTGAAATGGGAGCAGTGTCAACTTTGTGGGTGGTATCCTCAAGCTGGAGGGGAAGATTGGTGTAGGCACACCCTAGTCCAGATTTCAGGGGTTTGTTGGCAGCCAAGGTGGCAGTGCTAGTGAAGGAGATGTGTGTTTGGCAGAATCACAAACCTACAGCCTGGGGCAGTGAGAGAAGAGTACAGAGAGGAGTTTGCATAACCTACTGCTGGCTTAGCCTAGATTCCACAAGGATGCTCATAACCAAGAATCACAAGGTCTATGAAATGAAAATGACCAACTGAATGAGTCAATGATTAGTATTGACTATGGTTCTCTTTATACTGTTTGCTGAGAGGAACCAGGGATTATTGGGAAAAGGAATCTTCCATGTGACTGACTTGGTGAGAAGCTTGATGTCATAATGTTCGTCTGGAACCCTTGTGATGAATTATGTACATATGTGTATGTATGTATATATGTATATATGTATTTCTATTGAGATTTAAGACTACCTCATAGAAAATAGCGAAGGGTCAAGTACTTGGTGATGGTGTGCGGTTAGCTGTAAGTAGGCTTCTTTTAGAAGTGCCTCTGGAGGGTGTCCTGATCGTTATCAACAATAGAGTTGAGAGCCGCTACCACTCTTATAGGAGCTCTAGTAGCATAGTGCCTAAGGCACTTGACTAATAACCAGAAGGCTGGCTGTTCAAATCCACCAGCCACTCCTCAGAAGGGAGGTTGGGCAATCTACTTCCATAGTGATACTGCCTCGGAAACCCAAGGAGGGATCACTATGAGTCGGGTCTGACTTGATGGCACATAACAACAACAACAACAACAACAACCACTCATATAGTTTACAAAAAAAAAAAAAAGGTCATTTTGGTTTGCTTTTGTACACAGAAACTCCCAGAAGTTAGAAAGAAATTAAATGACTACTTTTTTTTTTTTTTCAAACTCATGATTGGTTATTTGACTGCTAACCAGAAGGTTGGTGGTTCAAACCCACCAACTGCTCCATGGAAGGAAGATACAGCAATCTACTTCCATAAAGATTTACCACCTTGGAGTCAGAATTGACTTGCTGGCAGTAGGTTTGGTTTTGAATGAAGAAGCCCTGGTGGTGCAATAGTTAACATTTGGCTGCTAACTAAAAGGTCAGTGGTTGGAACACACCAGTGGCTGGCTCCTCAGGAGAAAAGTCCTGGAGACCTGCTGCTATAAAGCTTTCTCCCTAGGAAACCCTTATGCGTGTGACTTACTCTTTGTAAGCAATATGACAGTAAGATAAGATGTATCTCTGTCCAGCTCAGTGAGGGTGACAGTGGAAGAACTTTACAAATACATGTGATAAGATTGTATGTCAATGGGATTCTGAGTCTCTTTCAAGAGTCAGGCAGCTCTACTCTGTTCCATGACCATGGACCCAATGCCTTTATCTTTTATAACAGTCTGCCATGTTCTCTGTACCTGTGGCCAATCTTGTATAAACTCCTGATCAAGGGGAAGGGGACAGATTCCCATCAATTTGTGAAGTATTGTGCAAAACACACCTGGCCTTTGGGACCAAGCAGATGTGGATTTACATCCTAGCCTCATTTCTTACTAGATGTGTGACCTTGAACAAGTTACTTAACCTCTCTGAGGTTTAGCGTTCTCATCTGAGCATAAGGAAGACAATCATTCCTTGCTCATATGTGGTAGAATACCTGTAGCTTGTTGAATTCTAGTATTGATTTACTTCCATCCTATTATAGATTTAAAGGGGAATTGGAGGAGCTTAAGATGGGCCCACGTTTGTGAGACATATGGGACAACTTAATGTGTGTCTATTGTGTTTAATATATGCATCTATGTATTACACATGCAGTTTAGGCAAACATCATATTGCAAGTTTTGTCTTAAAACCAAACTAAACCAAAACCCATTGCCATAGAACCGATTCTGATTCAGAGAGAGACTCATAGGGTTTCCAAGGATGCAAATCTTTACAGAAGTAGATTGCCTCATCTTCCTGCCACAAAGCAGCTGGTGGGATTAAACCGCTGACCTTTTGGTTAGCAGCCAAATGCTTAACCACTGTGCCACCAGAACTCCTTTATTCTTAAAAACCACTGTTAATTCTTTTTCCTTTTTCAGATTACTGACTTCTACTCAGAAAGAACAACAATGATAAAATCTTTTCAAATTAACTTTTTTCAGTAATATACTTAGATTGTGAATAGCATGAAGGTGAGGCTACTCAACAATAAAAGGGGATTGAAATATTCTTCCCTGGTAAATAAGGAGCTCTGGTGGTGTAGTGAATAAGGCATTTGGCTGCTAACCAGAAAGTCAGTGGTTCAAACTCACCAGCCACTACGTGGAAAGAAGATGGGGTAATCTACTTCCATAAAGATTTACAGCCTCAGAAAACCCAATAGGGCTTGCTATGAGTTGGAATCGACTTGATGGTAGTGAGTTTGTTTGTTTGTTTTTGACCTGATAAATAGACAGCTTAATGCACATATACACAAATTCATTAAAAAAAAAAAAAAAAAAAATCAGGAGTTTGTTTATCGATCTCATGAAAACATGTCAGCTACCCATTCTAGGTTAACAAGCTCTGAACTTTCCATCTCCAGAGATCCTTGAAATTTTAAATATTTGCTATCTTGACATGCATAATATGTGGTGTTTAGTAGGGTCTGTATGTGTGTGTGTGTGTTTAGAGTACTCAGGTGCCACCCCCTCACTGTTCCCTATATACACTCCTTGACAATTACTAAATTTCTTGCTGCTGTGAGCCAAGAGGACATAAGAGCAGGATTGGGGAATGGTATAATGACTTTCTTTATACCAGAATTATAATAAAAACAAAATTCATTGGGTTAGTTACTAAAAGAAATATGGGTGATATTTCCAAATTCTCTGCGGTCCTTATACAATACTTTTAAATCTTTGTTTCATAGAAATGATACTTGGGAATGGAATTTAAACGTTATCAGAAGAAATGAACACAGCTGTTTTACTGAAAAACGAATAAATAGGAAAACTGTGGAAGTTAAAAAAGCTTTGCAGTTAATGTGTGAAAATTCTTACTACAAAAAATGGGTCAACAGAACATCATTCTATAAGGTAATGCTTTTAACTTCAAACTTGGTAGTTGTTGTTATTTGCCGTGGAGTCAGACTCGACTCATAGCGACCCCTCCTTGGGTTTCCGAGGCAGTATCTCTACAGAAGTAGATTGCCCAACCTTCCTTCGGAGGAGTGGCTGGTGGGTTTGAACAGCCAGCCTTCTGGTTAGCAGTCAAGTGCTTTAGGCACTGTGCTACCAGAGCTCCTAAAAAACATAATTCCAAAATAAGGGTCTGATGGCTGTGGAGCCTTCTGGTCTTGTAATACACAAACTGTGTGACCTCATACACCTATTTGGCCTGTCTGAGCTAAGCATCCTCACAGGGTTGTTGTAATGGGCTATTATACTTGATCACTGTAGCACAGTGTCTGGGCCGTGTTCTGAAACCAAAAACTAGCTCCTGTCAAGCATATTTGACTCATGGTGACCCCATGTGTATCAAAATAGAACTACGATCCATAGAGTTTTCAAGACTGACCTGTTGGAAACATATGCCAGGCCTTTCTTCCTGGGTGCCTCTGGGTAGATTTTAACCTCTAACTTTTTGGTTAGTAGTTGAGCATTTAACATTTGCACCACCAAGGGATTTCTTGGAACACATTAGGGGATCAGTAAATTACAATCACTTCCCTTCCCATGACCTCACTTTATTTTCCTTCTCTTTTCAACAAGTTAATTCTTAGGAAAGTTAATTTAAAGATTTTCATTTTCTTCTGCCAAAATTACTTAAAGTTTAAAACTGTGTTATAGTTCTGAATGGTGAAATTTTATGACTTTATTATATAAAATTGTAAGATAAAAGAATAATGAAGAAAGTAAAAATCATCAATCATCTTACCAGGATGATTGGTGATTTTGAGTCTTGTGTGCAAACATTTACTTTTAAAAAGTGGTATTTTAAATAACTTGTATCTTCCTTTCTTGAACTAAAGTTATACTGTGATTGTTCCCCCACAATTTTCATCATTCTTCTGGACATGGGATTCCATATTGTATATACATGATTTGATCTAACTAATCCTTTGTTCTTGGACATTTATGAGTTCCCTATTTTTTTACTATTATTTATAATACTAAAATATACATTATTTCCATAAGTCTTTGAATATACTTCACTCAAATCCCTAGAAGTAGAATCACTTGGGAAGAGGCTGTTGTTGTTGCTGTTGTAATGTGCCGTCGAGTTGGCCCCGACTCATAGCGACCCCTCCTTGGGTTTCCGAGGCAGTATCACTACGGAAGTAGGATTGCCCAACCTTCCTTC